CTCCTCACCCTGTGCAATTTCCCCCCTCCGATCGTCTGCTACTCTTTTCACCTCCTTGGCCTGCACATTCTAGTCTTCTCCTTTTGCCCAGCTCGACCCTTCCTCCTCTTCTCCTCTTCCTGTTTGTGTCCGTCGCCTTCGTTTCCCTCCCCTTCGCCACCCCCCACACCCCCCTCCTCATCTTGCGCATTTTCCCTCCTCTCCTGTCGTCCGCTCCCATTTTCACCTCCTAGGTCTGCGCTTTCTACTCTTCTCCTTCTGCCAGCTTCCTCCTTAGGTTCGGAGACACGATACGCGGTGAGTGTTAACGGACTGTTAACGCACTGTCAACAGAATGTAACGGAATGACGAGAAGCCCAGTCTGTTGCCGTTGCAGCGCCGTATCCCTTGTTCTCTGCCGGCCCGGTCTGCTCAGTGGGAGGGCTGGCTCTGCGGGGTGACTGCTTGACACCCTACAGGCCTTCATTGAGCACAACACCCTCATTACGACTGTATCGGACTGAAAAAGTAGCTTGTAGACATTCGTGATGAGGGTGCGTGGTGTTCCGGGGAAGACGACTCTCTATTACGTCTGACTGTTTGTCATCATTCCCTTGAAGAAAAAAGACAGCTTTATTATCGTCCCCTCAGAACCGGGGTGCCTACCCTATCATGCTCTCCCGTCCTTCCTCTGCCGTTCCGCCAACACTTCTGTTATTCGCGCGCCACTTTGCGCAGATGCATGCTCATCATTTGACGATTAGCAGCTGAGTCTGACACCTGACCGGTGCTGGGAGGTGAAAAGGAGAAGTGACATAAGCCTCGAATGGAAAGTCTCAGTGAACGGCGGCGGTAACTCTTTAACTGTCAACTTTAGGGCAGTTGTAAAATCTGGCTTTATGCTGGAACACTCGCAATTCGTACATACACTACCGAGAAATACGGCAGAAGAGTGTCATTTTTTCCCTACCAGAACAGATGCATGCCCATTTGACGATTAACACTCCTGGCAATCTACCTAGCATCCTGCCTTTGCGGGACGACTCCCGAAATTTTTCGAGTTCGATAAATACGTATAGTGAGTGTCGGTGTCAAGATCTGAGCTGTCTGCTTTTTTTGCGTATTTAGCACTCAGAAGAAAGTACTGGAGTAGCGCTTGCAGTTTCCTAGGGCACATCAAGTTCTGAGCCAGGTTGTGCAGATGCATGCCCACTTCATTAGATTGCATGGTAGTCAAGAACGACGATTAGCAGCTGCAGAACAGTGATGTGGCGTGCTTCCAAGTCACCGGAGATTTGACGCTGACGTGGAAGGGAGGGAGGGGGAGGAGGGAAGGGAGGGAGGGGAAAGAGGGGAAGAGGGGAAGAGAGGGAGGGAGAAAGTGGGAGAAGAGGAATTAAATATATTGAGCTGCAGTATGGTGAACTTTGGGAGGAGATGTGGTCCCGAGAGGATGTGGGAGGGGTGGAGGGGGAGGGTGGGAGGGGAAAGGTTGGACACATATATATTGGTGGCAGCTTCAGGATCCGAGTTTTTTTTTGTCTAGTTTCTTTTTCTAGGGCAAATGATAGTCTTAGCAGCATCTTTGAATTTTGGGTGGGGTGAGCCACCGACAGGAGGCGTGAGGAAGGGAGGGGAGAGGGGGGGGGGGCGTAATGGGAGAGAGTGGATTTATATGCTGTAACACATAACGTACGCTGGTGCGCTCTGTCTATACCCGTAGAGAACTTTTGTAGATCCTGTTGAGGATGGCTTTTTTTTAAATTGGTTTTTAAAACCTAAAATCGTATTTTGAGACCTTTTCCACAGAACAATAGTATTACTTATGTTATTATTACTACCCTAAGGAAATAGTATAGTCTACGTCTTTTCTTGCTTCTTTTTTTTCTTTTTTTTTTTTGAGAAAGCTGCCTTCTCCTCGTCATCGGGGGACAGCCATATATTTTTCTCTCACCTCACATATTTTTAACCGGCGTTCTGCCATGTCATGGAACATATCTTTCTTTCACTACCTACCCCTACCACTACTCAGGACCTTCGACATTTATTTATATTTTAAGACTGTAATTAAACATGTCCATGGTCATTCGACATTTACTTATATTTAAGGCTTTATATAATGTCACATGTCCATTTGCTATTGAGCCTGGGCTAAAGTCCTCGTGCTCAGTAGTGCAACCTGCGTGGGTTCGAATCCCGCCCCCCCAACCCCCCCCCCCCCCCACAACCATCCCCCCCCACAAAAAAAAAAAAGAAAAAAAAGAAGGGAAATGATCGGATTAGGTCTCCGCTGCTGCTGTGGGAAAAAGGACGCTAACCTTCTTCCCCCGAATAGAACGTATGGTCGGTCATTATAGCAGTATTTGGTTCAATTTTCAGTCCAGATATAGCGGTAAATCGGAATAGTTCATCGAAAACAACCAAAAACAAAACCTACTACCATCTTCCCCCAACATATCTGTATACAAGCTCTCTTTCCGTCCATAAGTTGCCCTCAAATACCGGCTATAAGGACCATGCGTTCTGTTGGGGGAAGAGGGTAGGTAGCCGGTCATTGTCGCTGTATCTAGACTGAAAGTTGCCCTCAAATACCGGCTATAACGACCATGCGTTCTGTTGGGGCGAAGAGGGTAGGTAGGTTGTGTCCCAACCCACCGGCCGTGGTTCTTGTAACTCGCACCTCTTTCTTCTTATGAAAAGCTCGAAACCTTTTTTTTTTTCGTTTTCTAAGAAACTCGATCCGGTGATGCAGAGGTCTTTTCAGTTTCCGGAAAAGTTCATCGGTCGGCGGGATGGCTGAAAAACAAATAAAAAAATATCTCCACTGAATTCATTCATCAGTAAGGGGCATACTCACGCTGCCGTAGGACTCTCCTGGAGGAATCCGACCGTTACGACCAGATTCAGTCAATAAGGTTCTAGTATGAATATGCCCCAAGGGTTTCTTTGTCTTTTTCCCGTTTTATTTTTTTACATATCTCGAAGTTTTGTGGTTCTATTTTTAACCGTGGGAATGCGCACTGCGAGCCTCACGGCGAGCCTCTGCCATCGGGTAATGCATCCGGATCCGACGGCCAACTGCGGAAGCGTCTTTCTCTTATCTCTTTCTATAACGCTTTTGACTGAATTCTCTTTTTCTTTTTTTTGGAACGTCTCTTTTGCCTCGCACGCCGTCCCGCAATCCTACTAACTCGGTCTTTTTTTCTTCTTTTTTATTTTATCTTCTTAATAATAGCACATAGGAAGCTCCATCCGTCTATATATTGCTGGTAGGCAGTCACCTGTTGCCAACAGGGGCAGGCGAGCGTCCCATTAGGTGATTCTGCAGACTGTTGCGGGTTCATTCTCCTTGTGATGAGTCGGTTGGTGAAACTCCGACGAAACAGCTTGTCATAGCCCCTCGTTTGTTGTCCTCTTCTCCCTCTCCGCCTACGGTTTACCGGGCAGTTCGGTTTGACGATATATCCATAAAATGCATGGTCCGCAATTTTTGTTTTTGTTTTTTTTGGTCGACTTTCAGATAGACTAGAGATGGCCCATAAAAGTCAAACCCGGGAGCATTGATTGCTTTCCCTCAAGCGGGAGGTGTTACTGCCATGAGCCCTAACTCGATCATATCCTGCTACTGGTCTAGCGTCTTCCCCGAACACAACGCACCCTCGTTTTGGCTGTACCCGACCGGAAAGATAGCTTGTATACGTTCATTATCAGGGTACGTTATGGTCGGGAGAAGACGGTAGTAGCTGGACTTGAACCCTAATCTCATTTGTCGGCATTGCCATGGGTGGGTGAACCCGAATCTGAGGAAGAAGATAATGGAAAGTCGTTTTACGGCTTTGCATGTGGCTACAGGTCGACCGAGGAAGAACTCCTGTACTAAATGGCGGTATAACTTAAGATGGCGTAACGTGTGTGAGCGCGGTGCCCGTGAGTTTTTTTTTTTCATTTTCATGTTTCCCCTCGGGCGCGTTCCGTTGGCTGTGGTTTTGCAGGATGGTTGATAGGAACAGCGGGAATTTCGCTCACAACGTAAGGCCTCGCACGCATGTCATTCACGTTTGTCTTGTGTAAGGAGAGGACCGAGCTGAGCGGCATTGAGCGGTTACTCGTTTGTCTGTCAGGAACCAACTCGTTGTCACCCTATTGCTGGAGCGCCCCACGGACTTTTCCTTCTGTCCTTCTCTTCTGGGAAATGAATGTGTGTGTGTGTTCTGAGTGTGTGTGCGTGTGTTTGTGTGTGTGTGTGTGTGTGTGTGTTTGTGTGTGTGTGTGTGTGTGTGTGAGAGAG